ATTTCCTGGCTGCTGGTGCCAAGACTGTTGACTATAGAGCCAAGCAAACTAAAGCTGTATACAATCTCAATCTCTTCACCATCCATCCTGATGCTGCCAATTGCATTAGAGACTGCTAAATGTAGGGGGATGTTCCGACATGCGTCTTTTGTTTCTTTTTCTTCGACCTGTCTGTCACACATACGTCTCCTCTGATTGGCTAAGAAAGGCGTTTAATTGTGCCACAGCTTCTTTCCCTCCGCAGAATGCCACAGCTGCTCCATAAAAACAGCTGCAGGCCAGCAGCTGTGGAGCAGTTTTGTTTCTTTTATCTCACGAGAAAAATGAGACGAAGATTTGAATCCGTGGCATAGCAGATGTGGGCACACAAAACACGCAGCCCGCGTCAGGTCAAGACCAGTGTTAGTCCTGGCGTGTTAGAAGAGGCGTCGGTTCTCACGCACTGCTTGATCTCATGAATGCTTTCTTTTGCTGGTGTCGTGTCCACAGCAGCAAGCTATCGGGTTTTGATGCGTATCACCGAATTCAGCCAGTGTCCTTGCTGGGCTGCAGTGTCTCAGCTGAGCTGACTGCAGCCCAAGTCAGGGTCCAGGCTCCCGGCCTGCGCCCCAGCCTGGCCCAGGGGCTGAGTCTGCCTTCTGCTCACTCGGACCTGCACGTTATCAACCACACCCTGCCCTCCCCTCACTCTGGCCTGCACGTTACTCAACCACAGTGCAGTCCTCTGGGCACCACCTCGGGGTGCTTTCCACCATCACGCTCTTGGTAACGAGCAGGGAAGTCGTTGAAAGCTGCAGGAAAACGATGCTGCTTGTCCTGCTGGCCTGAGAACCAAGTGAGGCCAGGACCAGCTGAAGCCTGCTCTCACCGACGGGCTTCCTCATTCATTAAATAGTTTCTGCGCTGCCTAAGTAAATCTTATTAGCATGGTAAACCAGCATGTGAGGGGTGTGTGTGTGTGTGTTGGTGCCATGGAGTTAAGTATGACTCATAGCAACCCTATGAACAAAAGATCTGAACCCTGCTCTATCCTGCACCTTTCTCACCCTTCCTGACACACCAGAGCCCATTGCGGCAGTCACCATGTCCATCCACCTGGTTGAGGGTCCTCCTCTCCTTCACTGACCCTCTAAGCACGATATCCCTCTCCAAGAAATAGCCCCTGCTAGCAACACAGAGGTGCAAAAACACAGATGTCTAAGAACTCAAAACTTGTTACTGTCAAGTCAGAGACAACTCAGAGCTGGCCCTCCCGCAGTTTTTCAAGGGGCCGTAATCCACATGGCCGGGGAGGGTCCACCCTTCTCCCATGAGGCTTCAGGGGGATTCGAACCACCAGAGAGACACCACCTCCAGGTTAGGAGCAAGGTCCCCTCTGGGATAAACCGCCAGAACTCCCCTTACACATATATATGTATATGAAGGTTAAATGATATCAAACGACAAGATTCAACAACTTCTAACCTATGAAATAGTAATTCCAACCCACCATAGGCACACCTCACTAAGACAGGCTGGCACAGGGTCTGCAGCAGAGGGCCTGAAAAACTGGCGAGGATGAGGATGGCAGAGGACAGGACAGGCTCTGCTGTTCCCAGGGTCGCTATGTGAACTCGACAGCACCCAACAACAATGTTCAGGTGCATACGCGCACATGTGACATACAGTGGACTCCTCAACAGACACTATGACACTTACTTCCTTTGGCGGCTCATTCACGGCAGTGCTTCTGTCCTACCGTGAAGATTAAAAGGGAGCGTGCCACAGCCCTGCCCGTGACCGCTGGGAAGCACGGCATCGGAAACCACTCGGGCGCACTCCCCAGGGGCCAAGACCCCCCACCGTGTCGCTGCGGGCAAGCTCACTGCAGGAGGGAAGGGCCCTCGGGAGCACCTACCCGGCGATGTTGGCCATGGAGCTCAGCGCGTCGTAGCCCTGGGCGATCGTGACTCTTGGCACCTGGTCCATTGCCAGAACAGTCGACTTTCTTTCTGAAAGTTTACTTAGTAAGTCTGGGTTTTGGGCTGGGTAAATAAAACTAATCAGTGTCCCTGAGGTCTTCAGAAGGTCGGCTTCATGCACACCCAGCGCCGGGTTAACCATCGGGGCTCGCACCTGAGAAGAGAGGCAAGCCACAGGTCACACACGGCCACCCCTCAGCCCAATTTTTACGTAGCCAGAACAACTTAGTTACCACACCAAGAGCGAAACAGGGTTTCAGGAGTAAATCCTGCATTACTAAGCTTCTATGAACATTCTTAACTAAGGTAAGGCACAACAAGGAACTCATGAAATATACAAAATGGGTGACCCTGGAGGACCTCATGCTGAGTGAAGTATCTCAGTCACAGAAGGACAAATACTGCATAGTGCCACTGATGTAAAACAGGACTGACATCGGGGTTGAGGGGAGACTGAGAAAGATGGAATAAATTACGTATACTGCATTGAAACTGATGAGGGAGAGAACTGTTTAAAAGGGATATATGATTAGGTATTATTGTCATGACCGGAGTCCAGAATAAAGGCTGCATAGTGGAGTGGACTTGGGGGGAGGGATTGAATAACAATGAAAGAATTTTTCTTTTATTTTTCAAAGACAAGAGTGAGCTGGGGTGATGGGGGGTGGGGGACAGGGAGTAAAGTACAACAATGAATAAATGGAAATCCAAAGTCTTTGTAAGCTTAAAATTAATAGTTTTAAAAAAGCTATCTCTGATGGTGACCTACAGGCTGACTTGGAAAAGGCACACACCTGGGAAATGCGCATTGGACACAAATGCCTGCTCACAGTACAGAGTCACAAGCAGGCATGCTCTACGGGAAACCTGCCCTCCTGAGATCTAACTGCTCAGCTAAGACGAAAAACGTACATCAAAGAATGGGAAATCTGTGTTGAGCACTTAAGAATTCCATTATTGCTCATTGTATGTAACAAGCATAAACATTTGGAGTGAAAGAAAAAACTAACCCAAATACTCAAGTTTCCAGGTGAGGTTAATATTTAAAGATGAACACATTTCAAACTCTTGCTGTTCTTGTTGTTGTTGTTGTGTGCTGTCAAGTCAGAGATAACCCAGAGCTGAACTGCTAGGGTCTTCAGAGGCTGTAACTCCCATGGGAGGAACGTGCTCACCCGTCTCCTCTGCAACGTCCCTGCTGTGCGCTGACTACAACACGCAGTGACCCTGTACACGACAGCTCTGAACCCTGACTATTCCGAGCAAACCTCACGATCTCACACACTTGCCTCACTGACACAGTCGCTGTGTCAATTTGTCTTGTCTGGAGTGGCGGTGGTGGTCGTAAAGTGCTGTCGAGAAAGTCATAGCAACCGTAGGAAGAGCAGATCTGACTGCACTCTGTCCTTTCCTGTGCCATCCTCATCTTCTCGGACACACTAGAGCCCATCGCTGTGGTCACTGCACCAATCCATCTGGTTGTCCAGCTTTCTAAGCATGATGTCCTTCTCCAAAGACGAGCCTCCCCTAAAACTGCCCAAAGAACATGAGACGAAGCTCTATCAGCCTTGCCTCCAAGGAGCCCTCTGCCTGCACGTCTTCCAAAACACAGCTGCTTGTTCTTCCGGCCGTCCACAGGACACTCCGTGATCTTCGCCACCGCCATCCACAGGATACTCCGTGATCTCCGCCACCACCGCAATTCAAAGGCATCAAGTCTTCAGTCATCCTCATTCACTGGCCCAGCTCTCAAGTGACTGAAAATATCATAGCCTGAATCAGCACCCGTCAGTCCTCAAACTGACATCACTGCTTCTCAATAACATGGCGAGTTCCCTGACAGGTGACTTTCCCAGTGCACTATGTCTCCTGATCGCTGGGACCAAGGGTGTTGATTGTGGATCCAAGTAACATGAAGTTGACAGTTTCAATCTTTTCTCCATCTATCATGATGTAGCCTTTCTAAATTAGTCAAAAAGTTAAAATATATTTTAGTGTGTTGAGTATCAAATAAGGCCATGAATACATACTACATGTGTCCAAAAGTTTCAAATACCCATTTTTTAAAAATCCACATTTTAATATTCTGGGGTTTTTTTATATGGAGTGTTTTAAAACTACAGGTTGTTGTTGTTGTTATGTGCCATCGAGTCATTTGCGACTCATAGTGACCCTATGTACAAGAGCCCTGAACCCTGCTCTATCTTGCGCCAACCTTTCTGTCTCTGACAAATCTACTCCCATTACCCAGTCCCTCAATCGATCCATCTCATCGAGGGTCTTCCTCTCCTGAGCTGTCCCTCCACCCTCCCAAGCATGACATCCCTCTGCAAGGACTGATCCCACCTTGCAACATGCCCAAAGAATGTCAGACAAAGCTTCAGAATCCTTGACTCCAAGGAGCAGCCCGGCTTCACCCACTCAAGGACAAACCTGTTTGTTCTCCTAGCAGTCCATGGTATATTCAACACTCTTCTCCATCACCACAGCTCAAAGGTATAAATTCTTTTTATCAATCCTATCATTCCAGCAATTTCTATCATTGCCCAACTCTCTGACAATTGCGAAGACAATGGCCTGGATCAGGTGCACCTTAGTCTCCAGCTTGATGTCGTTGCTCTTCAGTACTCTGAAGAGGTTCCAGACAGCTGACTTTCCCAATGTAATTTGTCTCTTGACTTCCTGGCTGCTGGTACCAAGAATGTTGATTGTGGAGCCAAGAAAACTATTAACAATTTCCATCTCTTCATCATCCATAATGACACATAAGCAAGTTTAAAATCCATCTTCAACCCAACTGCTTTATCTTCCAATTTAGTTTTCTCAGGAACACAGAAAACTCTGTGTTATTCCCAGAAGAAGGCTTTCAGAGGAAATGCAAACATAAACACAGGTTCACAATTTTCATATCCAGCATTTCACCTCAATTCACCTTGGAGATATCTCTGTTATTCCTATCCTATGCTGATCAGGTCCTGTGTCAGTCTAGGTTCTGGACTGTATGATTCTCTGACAAGCTCTCTCCTCCTCAGTGCCATCTATACCACAGATTTAGCAAAACCTAGAGGAAACTTTTGATTTATCCCATCGGCTCCTATCTACTGCGCAGCAGGCAGCAGAGTTTGCAGGCATCTGAGACAGCCACGCTCAGAGAGTTTCCCAAGGTGGATTTTTTTTCTGGGATCACAAGACCCTCAGGATATTAACAGGCCTGGCTCAAAGGCAGATGTCAGGGTTAAGCCGTTTATATTAAAGCCAGCAACAACATTACACAGATGTCTACAGTGTAGGATTTCTCCAGTCTTCAACTTGTTTATACACACTGTTACTCTATAAAGGGAAACAGAATTTCCAATGATTACTTGCATCCTACCCTTTCCTTCCCATGGAACACTGCAAAAGGTTTTGATCCCTAAAGTAAACCTTGTAATTGATTTTGTTCACTTTCCTGAACTCTGCGATGGCATTAAACTCTAGTAGCTTAGTGGTAAGAAATGACACCGCCAACCCAAAGTTAGGTGATTCAAATCCACCAGCTGGTCCACGCGAGAAAGGTGCTCCGTCTGCATCTACACGTTTTAGTCTCTGAAAACTCGCAGGAGGCTCAGCTAGGGGTCATTTCCGACTCAACAGCACATATTACTAGCCCTCAGTAAACTCTAAAAATGTTTAAATATTTCGCTGAGTTGCAGTTTCTCTCTCTGCCATAAATTTACTTTTATTTACATGTAGGAGAACACGAGTACTGTATCTTCTGTAAAAACCGCTGCCTCAAAGCCCGTCAAGTGATCCAGTGAGTATTATGCGAACACTACACAGTTCATTCCTCTTAGAAATGGGAGGCAGGACAGAACTTGTCTTTCCTCAAACAATGAGCCGCTTATTGTGACAGTTAACTTTATGCAATCCACAGTTGTCGGCGTGCCTGGACTACAGGGGCTCAGAATTTAATACGCACCCTGGTATTCCCAGTACGCTGAATTCCTGCTCTGGTTTTCTCCCCAAATCTCCTAGAAGGTTTCTTTCTTTAGACCTGAATGCTTTTCTGACACACAGATTTCCATTATACACAGCCCCAAGGGCTGTCAAAGTGCATGAAGTGATTCCATCACCCTGTCTAGCGCTGTCTTCACCACAAACGATGTCCTCTGGAAACAGCACTTCTAACAGTATAAATCATCAGTCCTCCTGCTTATCAGATGACTGTGCATGCCGTTCTAGGCCAAGGGCCAGGCCTCTTCTCCATCCCAGCAGGACTATTTTCCCTGGTCAATTAAAAGGCAATTTCCATACAGCACGTGCAAAGGGGTCAGCTGATGACTTTTCCTATTCTCATGACCAAATGCCTATCACACTGCCAGATAAAAGTCTAGTGGAACATAAAGACCATTCGCAGCATGCAACTATTTATTTCAAAAGAGTGTCCTTGGAAAATTGAAACGCTGGTGGCTTAAGGTATGCAGTTCAAGTGCACCAGCCACTCTGCAGAAGACAGACGGTCACTGTCCTCCTGTGTGATTTACTGCCTCTGAAAACCCACTGCAGGATCACGTTTTGATCCACTCTGACTCGGCGATCCACAGCAACACAGCACCAACAACACAGTACTTTCACTAGGCTGTGAAACATGCTGAGAAGTGTGTCTGCTGTAGAAGGCAAGGGTGGGGAACTACCTTGACCACCAAATCGGAAGCCAGAACGTCCTTCGTCCCCCGGATCTGCGCGCCGGCCGCTCGGTAGTGGTCATCGGAGAACTTGGAAGCTTCGCCTGCGCCTGACTCCACCACCACATTAAAGCCCTGCTTGACCAAAGCCTGGACACCTGCTGGGGACAGGGCCACTCGCTTCTCATTCTGGAAGATCTCCTTGGGGACTCCAACAGTCAACTGTTTATACGGAATTCCTACAGAAGAGGGCAAAGAGACAATCAATGAATCCAACAAGCGTGCGCGCGCGCGCGCACACACACACACACACACACACAACACACACACACAGTGTTCAACAGCTTGTGGGAAATGGAAATGGGCAGTCAACTTTCCCAAAGACACCACGCAGATCACTGGCTCTTCAAAATCACGTCCCCAGGGGAGCTCTGGTGGCCTAGTGGCAAGGAGCTGCAACTACAATCCCAGAGGCGAACAGTTAGAATCCACCAGATGCTCTGACGGGGAAGGAGGGGCAATCTCCTCCTGTACCAGTCAGATCTGATTTGACGGAACACGCACACAAAAAAATAATAAAATAAAATTTAAAAAAAAAATCACGTCCCCAACACATGTTGTTACTGCCATCAGGATGAGTGTGACTCAAAGTCACAGATCTATGAACGACAGATTTGAACCCTGTCCTATCTTGTGCCATCCTCCCACTTCCTGAGCCCACTGCAGCAGTCACTGTGTCAACCCACTTGGTCGAGGGTCTTCCTGGCCTTTGCCATCCCCCCATCTATCCAAGCATGATGTCCCTCTCCAAGGAACAGCTTCTCCTAGCAACATGCCCGAATATGTAAGAAGCAGCTCGGCCACCCTTGCCTTCAAGGAGCACTGGGGCTCCACTTTCTCCAAGACACACTGTTCTTTAGGCAGTCCATGGGCTATTCAGCACTCTTCTCCAAGACCACCGTTCAAAGGCATCTATTCTTATCTTATCATCCTTAGTCATTGCCCAGCTCTCAAATGCATAGCTAGTAATTAACAGACTATGGTCTGAATCAGGTGCACCTTAGTCCTCAAACTAACATCACTGCTCCGCAGTAATCTGCAGAGGTCTCTTGCTGTAGACTTTCCCAGTGCAATATGTCTCCTGATCGCCAAACTACTGGTACCAAGTATACTGATGGTGGATCCAAGGAAGATAAAGTTCCTGACACATAGTCAGGGTTCTTTGATTTTAAGGGGTGGCAGGAAATAAATAACGAAAAAAAATTAATGCCATTCCTGTGAAAATTATAAATATTCTATTTAACGAAATGGCTATCATTACAGGGCATGACTGGTTTATTCTTGTCCTTTCCTCTCTCTCTCTCTCATTGCTGCAGAGTTGCGATGAAAAATCAGCAGACCCTCAACTGGGTTTCAGAGGCTGTACATCAAAGAGGAGGACACTATCCACATTTCTCCAGCAATGCCACTGGTGGCTTTGAACCTGTGGCCTTTGGGTTAGTAGTGCAGTGTGGCACTCCCTAGAGAGGATCTCTAGGAAGCTCCTAACTCCCCTCCAGGGTTATGGTCTCCCTGTCGTAATCTTGAAGGAAACAGAAGCCGTGAGTCCTTTCAAAGAACACTCCTGTCCTAGAAAGTGAAGCCCTGCCAAACCCAAAGGCTGCACGCAGGCAACCTGGCTGCCGCAACTCCTCGTGGAATTGCAAGTGCGGCCCTGGAGACCTCAACAAGGGAGTGGAGCGGGCCTGACCAGCTCTGCCTTTCTCCCGCAGAACCACTGCAGACGCCAGCTGCCGACAAGGCTACAAGGCTCGGCCTCTGGGTCCACAGCACGGCTCCCTTCAGGCTCCGCTGCGCTCCCCAACGCCCCGTACAATAAACCCCATCCCAAAGCAGAACCGAAGGTGTCCCTTGAGTCCTTGCAACAGAACACAGGTTGGCTAAGAAATGACCTGTCTTTCCTGCTGTTTTCATCAGCACACGTCCCTCTTTAAGGTTTCTTAAATGTCAGGAAAGGGAGCTCCAGGTGCTTAGAGGGAAGGAGATGTGCTGCCAACCCAGAGGCAGGCGGTTTGAATCCACCAGACGCTCCACACGACAAAGAGGAGCAATCTCCTCTCATGCAGCTAACTGCCTCGGAAAGCCCGCTCACTGGAGGGGCAGCTCGGGGTGGGCTCCAACTCGAAGGAACAGCGCCAACAATCAGGAGAGGCACCTTGCAACTTGAACTCCCACCTGCTGTCTGTTAGTCTGACATGCTGCTGGGGCCCAGGCTGCCGGAGGTGCCGGAAGTGAGGCAACACAAGTGTCAAGTGCCAGCAGCGTGGCCCACCATGAACGGGTTTCCACGGAGCTTCCAACTCAGACAGTGTGGGAACACAGGCCTGGAGATCTATTTTTTAAAAATCCCACATGCAAAACTACTATGAGATATCATCTCACCCCAGTCAGAATAGCAAAATTTAAACAGAATAGCAAGCAAAAAATGCTGGCGAGGTTGTGGAGAAAACGGAACCCTTATCCACTGTTGGTGGGAGTGTAAAATGGTGCAGCCACTGTGGAAGGCAGTGTGGCGCTTTCTCCAAAAGTTGCAAATAGGGATACCATTTGACCCAGCAATTCCACTGCTGGGAATATACCCCAAAGAGACCATAACTGACATCCAAGCAGATATATGCACACCCATATTTATCGTGGCTTTGTTCACAATCGCAAGGA